AGAAAGAAAGAAAGAAAGAAAGAAAGAAAGAAAGAAAGAAAGAAAGACAAAGAGAAAGACAGACAGAGAGCAGGAAGGAATTAAGGAAGGAAGGAAGGACGGAAGCTGAACTCTTAGGCCAAGTACTGGATGTCCTTAAAGGGTGGGGAAGAAGCAGTTTTGACCCAACCATGGCAACATGGAATGGATGTAGCATTTTTGCCTCATGCCAAAGGACCTGGGCATATATCACCTTTGACTCGATACTGGGTGGCGCTCCCCGGAATTGCGCTGGTACACAATTAGGGAAGAGCCTTGTTAGATTAACAGCTCCTGTTGAAGGAGCTGGTGGCAGCCATGGGAATGGGGTTTTTTTTTGCTCAATTTTGACTAGAATGGCTTGAGGAATGTGTTGGCCCCTTTGGGACAGGTACACGCTCATAGCAGAACTGAGAGTTATAGCTGCGATTACAATAATGGGAGAAATACTCTGTACATTATTTAAATGAAATAAAGACAGAAAATGGTATTGGAAACTTGGACTGACCATAACCTTTCCTTCTTCTTCCTTCTTTGCCTCCCTTTTTTCCCCTTCAAAGATATGGCGGCATTGGAGTTGTTGAAGGGTGCACGACGGTAGTCAATCCTGTGACCTGTAAACATGAACACTACAGAATTGATGACCCATCGCAGCCCTGTGGAGTTTGATCTCTTCACATGGAAAAACTGGAATAAATCTCTTAAGTGCAAAGGAACCTAAATAAATCTTTCATATCAGCATCTTAATCTTTTTTCTTCTCTTTTCTTTTCATTAAGTAAGAATTACGTTAAACATGATGCTGGGGTCCTGACGTCAACCGTGCAAAACCGAAGGATGCTGGCTGTGTCAGTGTGGCACTCTATGTCAAACTATCACTGCTTGAGCATTCCTTTCTCTTGTAAAAGTAAAATGGCAGAAGTAGAAAAAGAGAACATTTAGGGCTGCAACAATACTACAATGCTACAAAAGGGAAAAAAAGAAAAGATATCTCACAAGACCAGTATAGTTGCATAAAGAGCTCTCTGACCAATTAAGTGGCAAAAATATCAAATATTAAATATTTTTTAAAAAAAAAATGGAAGGAGGGGTATATAACTAGAGCATAATACCTGCAAGTAGCCTGAATCTGCAAAAAGTCTTGAATCCTCCCTTTTTAGGGTGGTTGGTACACAGAAGGCCAAGATGATGCAAATGATCAAGAATTTTTAAAGGATGGGTTCAGGTTCAGGTCAAGGAACAGAAATAAGACGGCATTGCTTACTCAATGAAAATTTTGGAGGGCTGAAACAGTATTGGTAACAGTTTCTAGGACAAAAAGAAGTATTTTGAAAACCAGTGAATTTCATTGTGGGAGTGTGCTGGCTGAATGCAAAATCCAGTCTTTACTGATGTAATTTTTGGCCAAGGAATCAAATAGAATTTATTTTACAGAACAGAACAGAACAGAACAGAACAGAACAGAACAGAGTAGAGTAGAGTAGAGTAGAGTAGAGTAGAGTAGAGTAGAGTAGACTAGAGTAGACTAGAGTAGAGTAGAGTAGAGTAGAGTAGAATAGAATAGAATAGAATAGAATATAGAACAGGAGAGAACAGAATAGAGTAGAGTAGAGTAGAGTAGAATAAAATAGAATAGAATAGAATAGAATAGAATAGAATAGAATAGAATAGAATAGAATAGAATAGAATTCTTTATTGGCCAAGTATGATTGAACACAAGGAATTTGTCTTTGGTCCATATGCTCTCAGTGTACATAAAGGAAAAAAATAAAATACATTCATCAAGAATCGCAAGATAGAACAGTTAGTTATAGTCATAGGTTATTATTAAGCAATCAAATCATACTAGGAAACAAATAAAACAATATAAATGAAAATCACATTGTGCAGAGAAGCAGGAAACATAACCAGACAAAACAAACAAACAAACAGGCTATTTAAACTTTTGAAAGAAAAGAAAATGTCATAGGACTGGGGACTAGCTAAAAGCTAAAGTCACACAGGGTTCAATCAAGGATTTCTGTTCTTTAAGAAGATTGGATGCACATTTCTTAAGAAGCATCAAACATTTTATGCTTTGCAGCAAAAATAGGGCTCATCTTGGGAGAAGTTGGGGAGGAAGTGGCTTTCAAGAAGAGGCTGGACAGCCATGTGTCTGAAATGGGATAAGGTCTCTGGCTTGAGCAGTGGGTTGGAGTAGAAGACCTCCCTTCTGACTCTGTTATTCTAAGTTGTAAACTGGGGTCACCATCCTTTTGGACCTCAGGGACCACCAAACTCATAATTTTAAATCCCGCAGACCCTGGGAAAATCCCCAAAAAAGTCTGCAAGAAAATTTCCCACCCCGTTTTCCTACCGATTGATCATTCTTTATTTGGGATCACAGAATATCGTCTCCAGCTCCGTTCTCAGGGGGAGAGAGAGAGACTTTTGGCTTCGTGCAAGGAAAACAGCAGAAACAGCAGAAGTCTTTCTTTCTCTCCCCCAAACTCAGTCAGAAATGAGTCTTGGTGAGACTTGTCACAGCCTCTTGGAGCAGGAGGCCTTGCAGGGTCTCAAAGACTCATTTCTGGCAGAGTTTGGGGGAGAGAAAGAAAGACTTTTGCTGCTTTCCTTGCATGCAGCCAAAAGCAGAAGAAGAAAGAAGCTGAAAGAAGCAGTCTGGTGGCCAGGCCAGGCACATGGGGTGAGTGGGGCCCCCTTCCTCCCTTTCCCTCCTCCCCTCACTACCTCGTGTTGTTCGCAATGCAAGCGACACAAGCCTTGTGTTCCTGCCGGCCATGTGGGCAGCGCAGCCTTGTGTTCCTGCGCAGCCTGGATTAATTGCTTTGGGGGTGACATTTCTCTGTGGACCACCAAAATTTTCTCATGGACCACCAGTGGTCCCTGGGCCACTGGTTGGCGACCACTGTTCTAAATCATATTTTACAACCCCGTTGATTAGCCAGTAGGAAGCACCTGGGCTGACTTTTCACATCCTACACTTGTCATAACTTCACATCTCTTGCCTTGCTTCGTGACATAGCCTTCCTTTATGCTTTGTGACATCGGATTTCTTTAGTTCCACTTCCAGAATCGTTTGCACTGGGCCTTCTGAAAAAGATTTCAAATGGATCCTGGAATGAAGACCTAGAGCTGATGCGAGGTCTTCAATAATCGCAGGCCACTGGGCTCCGGAGAAAGAAAGAAAGAAAGAAAGAGAGAGAGAGAGAGAGAGAGGGAGGGAGAGACGTGTGAAAATTGCTCAGTAATATATTTTGGAGAGCAAAAATCCCTGAGTAGAACCAAAGATGCTGCACATTGTTATTCTGTCAGCTCATGTGCCTCCTGAACATGCAATGCAGCCCAACACATTTGTGGTTGGTACCTTCAGAGGTAAAGCCGTATCTGAATCCCATTTGTTTTTACATATTAAAATAAATTCCTCTTATGTCCACATCTTACTTTAGGGGAACTTAGAAAGCCAATCCGCTTGTATTTTCAGTAAAAAAAAATTCTATCTGATTATGAATGCAAATTTGGGAAATGCCAGGGAGGATAATATTTCAGAAAATAGCCATTTCCTGCTTCCGGGAGAGCCAGGGAAGTAGGCAAATACAGACCCTATTTACATTTTGCCAAATTTGCACTAATTGCATCACTGCAGTGATCATACGTCCTTTCCTACAAAGGGCCATCCTTTCTTTCAGAAAGCTATCTTTTATATTTATTTAACTTATTTGTTTATTTATTTTCTTGGTTTTGCGCTTGAATTTCCTTTCGTAAAGCAAAGTTACAAACATCATTTTTTTAAAATCCTTATGATCATCTTTCAGATTTGTTCCCTTTTTTCAGGTTTGTCCTTTATTTTTTTTCAAGAAAATATGGTCATTTTCTGTAGATTTTTTTTTGTTTTTTAGTAGTCCATCGTTCAAATCTGCGCTATTTGTAGAATATCCCACAGTTACTACTCTATCAAGTAGTGAGAACATTTACTATAAGTAGGAGTAAAGATCATTAGATCAAATTAAGGAATACAGTCTTTCCCACATGGCTGTTTTTGGATGTATTAGATTACAACTCCCATACGCCCCAGCTAAGTCATATCAGATAGCTCCATTAATGCAATCCATCACTTCTTGAGGTAGTCATGCCTTATTCTACTACTACAGGGGTCTCCAAACCTAGCAACTTTAAGACAAGTGGACTTCAACTCCCAGAATTCCCCAGCCACCATGTTCCTCTGGCTGAGGAATTCTGGGAGTTGAAGCCCACAAGTCTTAAAACTTCCTAGTTTGGAGATCCCTGACTTACAGCAATGTTTCTCAACCTTAGCAACTTTAAGATATGTGCACTTCAACATCCCAAATTCCTCAACTAGCATGACTGGGGAATTCTGGGAACTAAAGTCTAACACATCTCAAAGTTAAGGAACACTCAACTTCAAGTTGGCAAATGGTGCTGTTTTGTTGTTTTAATACAGGCCAAGTTTTTAAAAAGTGACTAGTATATTTCCTTACCAATTTTCACCATGAAGGTTTACCTGCCACTGGGTAAGATATCATCAATTGCTCATGTGGAGTGGGGCAAGTGAACGGATGTTTTGGATTGTGTGTTTAGAGTCATTATGCAAGTTGTCTGATGCACAAATTGTGGGTTCAGAGATCCCCGGTGACTATGACCTATCAGCCATTTTTGTTTCAAATGTGGGTCTGGTGCTCTTCAGAAATTCAGAACGTTTGAGTATCATAGACTGCTCATCTTTTATCATGTCACTACAGAATTCAGAGGTATTATTAAGCATAGATTTTACACCTATCTGTTACTGATTTTATTGGGTGTGTTCTACTTCTGCGCCAGGCATAAACATTTCCAGATTTTGCTTGTAAACTCATCATCTCTATTTGGAGGTTGGCATAACTGGAACCCCATTCTAGTAAAGCTAGTCTTATCTGAGGCCACCAAAATTGTGATCGATGTATCCCAGAGGTCCACGATCTGCTCCTGGAAAAAAGAGGTGGTTGCTTTTGAAAGAACGTAGAAATTGATTGATCAGCCATGCTATTCACGCTGCCTGTCAGAGCTATGCTCCTGAGAGGCAAAGCATCAGGAAACAGCTGGAATTGACTCAGGAACTTATTTTTCCCCTAGGCATTGAAAGGAGCACAAGAGTTGTGCAGAAGGATCAGAATCCAATCTGGAATGAGGTAAAACTAGACAAGGAAGTTGAGAAATGTCCTGGAAAAAAATGGAATCTAGCAAACCATCTTTCTTACTGTTGTTTAGAAGGCTGTCTGGATATACCATAAAGTGGAGCTAGGATCAACGAAGTCTATATTTTTCCCCAGACTCCTTAATCCTCCTTAATCCTAAATCAGTTTTTGACTTAGTTCCCTTCTAATTTCCTTATTTTTGAAAAAAAAAGTCCCTTAATAAGAACTTAGAAAGGGGAAGGAGTTATATTTGTTCTAGCCAAGGCTTCCTGAGACATCAACAAACACACACAAAATCCAAAACTCTTTTATTCTAGTTCAATGGCTGTGAATTATCGTCATTCACAGCCCAGAATGAGTCTTAACTGGTTATAATTAGTCCCAGGGATGTTTGCCAAAGTTCTTTGAGAGACGTCTGATAAGAATGTACCTCATCTTCCTTGAAATGCTGTCAATGACTAAAGTCCCAATTAGTCTTTCCAAAACCTAACAGAGAACAAATACACCACGGAGCTTTCAGAGTCCAAACTGATCAGAGAGAACGACGTTGCTTCCTGCAAAGGTTTTCCCACCTTTGCACTTCCTTTATACCTTATGGGAGGGGCAATCACCTCCAAGCCTTACTCTCAAGGTGCTTTCCAATAAGAATGCGAGATAACAAAAAAAAAAGGAGTGCCATTCAAAGGATGAAGAAGCTAATGGCACATTCTTTGAAATATAACGTAGCAGTTTTAATATATGAGAAGGGCCAAGTTTCCAACTCTTATTCCAGCAAGCCATTCCACAATACTTAATACAGAAGAAGGAATTGCAGAATAACACATATCCCTGACTATGAAGGTATTAATTCTAGAAGGACAACTAATTCATCAGATGTCACCTTCTTCGTGACACAAAATTCCAGATGTTGCCAGTGACCAGGAAAGATCATGCATCAAATTCAGTTTCAAGTAGCAGATAAATATCTTGAATAGACAGCAGAAAGAATGCTTGGCGGTCTTGCTTGCTATGAATTTGTCCAAAACAAGAGCGAGTAACTGACCTTCAAATATTGCATTGTTGATTATTCTTTGTGCTTGCTCTGCAGACTTTGATGTGGTATCTGGACCAGGAGCTTCTGGACAACAGTTCTTTTGCCATCGTTAAACTCCTTGAATGGGGCACAAAAATCCAAAACAGGTGAATGATGGAAAGAAGGATCTGTATAATTAGGTTGTCCGACATGGGGACAAATCTGCTGCTTAAGCCCCAACCATCTTCCTCTCTGTTTCAGCCCAAAGAGTGCTGTCCAGTTCACTTCCTTTCATTGCAGTAAAAGTTTGCAGAATAGCAGAATAACAGAGTTGGGTGGGACCTTGGAGGTCTTCTAGTCCAACCCCTTGCACAAGCAGGAGACTCCAATACCATGCCAGGAAATTTCTCCTTATTTCTAGGTTGCTCCTCTCCTCGATTCATTTCTCCTACTTCCAATTGAACTGGGAGCAAAGTAACTTTTTCCCTACGGTCAAGTAAAACATAGAATAACAGAGTTGGAGGGTCCCTCAAAGGTCTTCCAGTCCACCCCACTGTTTGAATAGGAGACCTTATGCCTGGCTTAGGCAGGTGGATAAATGGGATCTAAAGGTCTGCATTGAACAATCCATTGAATTAATTTTTCTTTTAAAAGTTTATATTCCGCTTTTTGATCCACCCCACTTTCAGACACCTCACGAAAGTGAAACCTCTTAAAAGCCACAATGTCAAAATACCTCACCAAGGGGTCTCCCAGGTTATTGATCCAATTGGAGGGGCATGGTCTGTAGAGCCCAAGAAAGCCCTTGGTTGGAGAACATGATTTATAACACACCAGGCACGAAGATACTCCAGTTGGGGAAAGTGATTTATGACACACCCAGCGGGGAGGGGGGAAAAGAGGTGCAATTACGTGAGGCAAAGTTGGCTTCATTAGGAGAAGTGTTGACATGTTGCTCCTAATAAATAATTGGATTTCTTTGAAGTTTGGCTCGAGGCTCATGATTTGTTTAGGGCTTCCGTTGGAACCCTGACATCAAGTTTGGGAACATAACTCTCTCATTCTCCAAAGTCCAACAAAATCTATCTCATTACCTTATCTCAGTTTATCTCTAAATAACTACTCTTGACACCCACAAGAGCTTTTGATTTGCTGGGAGATGGGTAGCATATTATGGTTGATGGCCGAGTCATCTAGAACAGTGGCCCCCAACCTTTTTTGTGCCATGGCCCAGTACCGGCATCACAAAATGATCCACGGCCCGGTACCAGCATCAGCACGCATGACAAGGCAAGGCAGCCAAGCGACCAGCCAGCCAGCCATCCCGCGCTTCTCCCCGCCACCTTCAACTCCTCCTTTGTACCTTTGTCGATGGGCTTCACTTCGGGACGGCTTCGGGACGGTCGCTCGGCTTGCCTTGCCTTGGATGCTGAAGGAATCCTCGCGCCTTAGTTTCGTTCGAAGCCCCCCCCTTCGATGAAACTAAGGCGCGAGGATTCCTTCAGGACCCAAACGCCGCTTTCCAACCGGAAAAGCTCACCTGGAAGCACTTTCTCGTCAAACAAGATGGCGGCACCCAGAAAACCGACAGCCTGGTAGGAAATGTTCCACGAACCAGTACCAGTCCGCGGCCCGGTGGTTGGGGACCCATGATCTAGAAGATCAGACTGGATTTGACACTTTTGTCAAATCACTTTTGTCCACCTATCGCGTGCTTTTTTTTTTTTTGTACAATTATAGGACTGGAAGGGATCTTGGAGGTCTTGTACTCCTAGTCCAAGCCAAGAGTCCTTATTCCATCCTGGACAATTGGTTGTCCAGTCTTTTCTTGAAAACCTGCAGCGATGGAGTACCCACTACTCCAGGATGCAAGCTGTTCCGTTGAGTAATATTGTTCTCATTGTGAGGAAGTTTCTCCTATAAGTTCCTTCCTCCTCCTAAGATGTCATACCAGTCTTTCTTGGAAGCGCCTTCTTGACTTTTCCACTTCTCCCTAACTTTAGGGATTTTGGCAGCGTGGACGTAGCCTTAGGAGGAGCAGCTGAAAAACCAAATGTTATGATGATAAAGAAAAATCAAAGCCTGAGAAATAACAGTCTGCAGCCAACCGGGGTAAGTCGGGAAGGAAATAAAAATAATGTTTTAAACTTGAAGGGCTTCACTGTGAAATGCTAGGAAGACTGGATGCCCACCAACGTTACGGTAATCTTGGAATAAAGATGTTGAAATGTTTCTTTCAGTGCTTTCTGCTGTTTATTAGTGGAATTCAGCCGCTCTTCGGTGCTGCTAAAATTTATTTTCCCCTATCAATATCAATACCAGCAGGAAACTTTTAATCGGCTATGAAACTATCTATTCACTGCCTCTGTTTTCATTTCCACAATATTAAAGCAGAAAGTTGTCTTCACATTTGCATGAAAAGGGGGATTGTCCCCCCAAATTTTGATGTTTCTCATCATATAGAAATCTATCCAGAATGGGGATAGATACCATACTTTGAAAAGAAAAGCACAGCCAGATTTTGCTTTTATCCGCGGACAAATTAAAAAGAGTTTCTTGTGATTTTATGCTTCCAGTGCACCATCACGCTAAAAATCTGCTTCTCACCGCCGGAACCTAAAATGGTTACGCACAGAAGAAAACATGATTTAAAGAAGTTGAGTAAGTATTGTGTATTTATTTGGGGGTACTAAAGTATGTATTGCATGGAATTTGCATGGATTTTAATGTCTGATTCCTTGTCTGGACTGTTTTGAGCTCTTCATGCTTAGAAGAAAGTAGGTGTTTTGTAACATCAAAAGAGATATGGGTAAAAAATCTGTGTGTTCCTGTTAATGAATTGGAGTAAAAAAGTTGAAACTGTTTGTTAGTTAACAGTGGCAAGAAGGAACGTGACATTGGACAAAACTCACTTAACTGTCTCATTTAGCAACAGAAATTTGGGGCTCAATTCTCGTAAGTTGAGGACTACCTGTAGTATAACACATCCACTGATGGATATTTGAACCAATTTTTTTCCAGGAGGACAGATTCTTGTGTGTTTGGGGCTGAATGGAGGAGTCAGTGTGAAGACGCTGAGCATTCACACCTGAGAACTGACATGGTCTACTGGTGAAGGGTCTGGATTAGCTTTAGGGAGGCCCCAGTTCTAGACTGCCTTTAACCATAGAGGTTCCCTGGAGGATTTTGACCCATTCTTCTTTCAAGAGTTATAATGTGGAGAAAACTAGGAGGACGTAGTGCTGTATAAGCTGCCTTGATCTACCCAAAGTGAGAAATAATTCTAATAAATAAATGAATATTTAAGGTCTTAAGAAGAATGTCCTCCTTAAAGGGCAAATGTTGATAATGGTCAGAGGTGGTATTCAGCTGGTTCTGACCACTTCTGGAGGAATTTTGAGTAGTTTGGAGAACTGGCAAATGCCACCTCTGACTGGCCCTGCCAACCCCATCTATTCTCTGCCTCCTGAGTCCCAGCTTATCAGCTGGGTCTTCTTTGGCTGCCCTGCCCAGGAGAATGGAGCTGGAAAGCAGGTTAGTGGGATGGGGAGGGAATGGGATTTTTGCAGTATCCTTCCCCCAGGCGTGGGAAGGGAATGGGGACTTTGCAGTAACTTTCTCCTGCCACGCCCACCAAGCCACGCGCACAGAACCAGGAGTCAAAAGTGTTGAATCCCACCACTGATAATGGTGGTCCTTGTCCTTTTCCCCCCAGTCTGTTGCCCTGTCTTTGCCAAGGCTTCTGGCACAGAAGAATTTACTCTCAAAGAAACCGAGGCGCCTCGAGTACCAGCTCCAACATCAACCACCATGAAAGAGCTTTCCAACAAGAAACAACTGTTCCAGGTAATGCAACAGCTCAGCTCTTGATCCCGGAAAGAATTAGAAATAGATTGAGAGGACTGGTGGTTTTTCAGCAGGTGTTATTCTTGCCGTAAGAGCAATTCTTGTAAATGGAAATGGATCTTGAATAAAGCCCGAACACCACCAATCATTTATTTCAAGTATGGTCCCACCAGTACAGTGTAAAGCTGTACTATGACAACAGAATAAGAAAGTTGGAAAAGACCTTGGGACATCCTCTGATCCAACCCCTACTTGAGTAGGAATTGTATATCATTTCACGCAAACAGCTGTCCATTTTCTTCTTAAAAACCTCCAGTGGGTGTAGCACCCACAGCTTCTGGAGGCAAGTTGTTCCACTGATTAATTGTTCTGTCAGGAAATTCCTCCTTAGATCTAAATTGTTTCTCTCCTTGATTAGTTTCCATCCATTGCTTCTTGTCCTGCCCTCTGGTGCTTTGGAGAATAGATTGACCCATTCCTCTTCTTTATAGAAGCTCCTTAGATATTGGAACACTGCTACCATCTTACGCCTAGTCCTAATTTTAATTAAACTAAGCCCTTTTCATTAAACTATGAAGACTTTCATTAATCTATAAGCAATTATTTGTTGTTCCCAATGATACAATTCAGTGGGGGAATTCAATTTTTTTTACTACCGGTTCTGTGGGCGTGGCTTGTGGGTGTGGCTTGTTGGGTGTAGCATGGTGGGCGTGGCAGGGGAAGGATACTGCAAAATCTCCATTCCCTCCCCACCCACTAACCTGCTTTCCAGCTCCGTTTTCCTGTGCAGGGCAACAAAAGAAGACCCAGCCGATCAGCTGGGATTTGGCAAGCAGAGAATAATTGGGGGTGGGGCCAGTCAGAGGTGGTATTCCGAATTATTTAAAATTTCTTCTACCGGTTTTCTGAACTACTCAAAATACAGAACCTGCTGAATACCACCTCTAATACAATTCCAGAAATGTATCAACTCTTTAGGACTCTTGTATTAAACTTACTAGAGCTAGCCTTCAAAAATCTGAACAATTTATATAGATAGCTGCCAAAGGGTCATATTTCCTGTGTCTCTCTTCAGTGGTATTTCATGATCATCCCAATTTTTACAGACTATGTATGGTGGTCCAAAGTTGGAATGACACATTCCTGGGGGAAATGAACATTTCTGTTTTCCTCAAGAGAAACAGAAGCTCCCAGAACATCCCATTTTCATGCTACCGGCCACTGGCGCACAAAGTTAGATAACCCACAAGAGTTCCTGAACTCTTTGGACAAATTTCAGAACATGAAATGGGGCATCTTCTGAGAATGATTGCAGGATGGGACTGACCAGCAGTTTCTCCCTTGTAGGTGCGAGTTATCATCATCGAATGTAGACAACTGCAAGAAAACAACGTCAAACCGGTGGTGAAAGTCAGTATTGGAGATTATACATTCAGGACAAGAATCAAACGTGGAAACAATCCATATTATAATGAGGTTGGCATTCTGGACATTATTTTCTGGTATTTGAAGATTTTTCACAAGCATTTGGCTCAGTTAGAAAAAAAAAAAGACTAAGCTAATTAATATGCAATGAATTGAACTGTAGCTGTAGCTACACCTCTCAGTGTACAATACAGGCAACAAGTGATAAATCATGATCTTGATCATCATAAACTGAAAGAAAAATATTTTAAGATAACGACCAGGTTCTGGGAATCAGTGTTCACATCCTTGCTTTTCAATATTGTTCTGTTTCTGCTGTGCAATTTCCGTTGGGGAAAAAGTGGGCGTCGAAAAAATGACACTTTCTTTGTAAAGACTCTGCATTAAAATAGTCATCAAAAGCCAATCTAAAGTCCATTCTGGTGTACAATGGCAAGAAAATAACATGAAAGTTTTGATTGCTTTTCTTGTAGACCTTTGTTCAAAATTTCAACGAGACGCCTCTTCACCTTTTTGATCAGTTTATTACCATACAGGTAAGCAAGCCAAGTCTGTTCCTCGTGGCCTCTTTTTGGACTTCCGAATTCCCTTACAGTGCCTCTTTATTTATTTGATTTGATTTGATTTGTCAATCGTTTACAAGATAATAAGTATAAGTGTATACATAGTTATGAATACGTGAAATGGGTACATATAAGAAAAATAAAAGAAACAATAGGACAGGGACGGTAGGCACGTTGGTGCGCTTATGCACGACCCCTACAGACCTCTTAGGAAAGGGGTGAGGTCAATAGTAGACAGTCTAAGGTTAAAGTTTTTGGGGTTTGGGGAAGAAACTACAGAGTCGGGTAGAGTATTCCAGACATTGATCTCTCTGTGGCTGAAGTTGTATTTCCTGCAATCAAGTTTGGTGCGGTTAACCTTGAGTTTGTATCTGTTTTGTGCTCTTGTGTTGTTATGGTTGAAGCTGAAGTATTCATTGACAGGTAGGACATTGCAATGTATGATTTTATATACCATACTTCTGTGTGTCCTTTTTGGATATGCAAATGAAATATTTCTCCTGGCTCGGATGAAGCTGCCTTGTGGCAGCGGGAACAACCCTGAAAATGGTATCCAAGTGCAGCTATCTTGAGTCCAACAGAGCCACTGATGGGGAGAAGGTGACAAATTAAAAGTTGGCCTTCAGACGTTATTCCAACTCTCTGGAAATGGAGGTGGGTGGAATAATCCTGGATTCTATCAGCATGACAATTTCAGTGAAAAAAAAAATCCATAATTGCTTCTCATCTCAACGGAGCAAAACAAAATATCCCACATACAGAAAAATATTTAAATTGAAAAACCAGTTTTAGGGGAGGAACGAAAGAGATGCAGCTGAATTAAAATCCTCCTACCCATTTGAGTAGTACAATGTAGTGCAGCGTTGCGGATGAGCGAGATTAATGTCATTCACAAGGAACCAAGAACGACATGATGGTTTACTTACAAGTAGTTTCTTTATGGTTGCTCACTTACAGACCAGAATCTTGCCAGACTAGAGCACAATCTGTGTAACAATTGCAGGTAGTCCACGACTTGCAACCACAGTTGTTCCACTTCTATTTGCAGGCTTTTGTATTTTGTTATCTTCTCCAGGTTTTTGTCTTCTATTCTGTGGTCCCCCATTAGTATAACAATAAAGTATTATAATGGGAATTTCTACATGATCTTGAACAGGTGCTGAACTCTCGGTCTGTCAGAGCGGATGCATTCATTGGTGTCTTTAAGGTGAGCTACCGCTACTTTACTGCTGACCAAATTTACCTATTTGGTAGACTTCTTGACAATGCTTAATCTATGCTTTCTGCTCTGCTATCTTACTTATTATCTGTCAGGATTCCAGCAATTGCCCTAATTAAATCACGATTCTCGAGCCAAACTTCAAAAAACTTCAAAGGATCTATTAGAGGCAACATACTGGCACTGCCTTGTATGAAGCCAACTCTGACATATGTAATTTTCAGTCATCCCCCCCCTCCCCCGGGTATGTCATAAATCAGATTCTCCAATTGAGCACGTTCCCAGGCCGGGTGTCATCATTCATATTCTCCAATTAAATATATTCACGGGAAAAAAACTCTGGTATTTTAGTTACAATCTTTTAAAGAGAAGAGTTGGGATGTACTTTCGCTTTCAACTGTTCTTCCAGATTTCCTTCCTCCCCCCCCCTCTTTTTATAGCAACCACTAAAATAGGCATAGTAATGTTTTATGAGTTGACATTATCCTATCACCAGGTCATTTTTTTTTCTATTTAACCTGTTAACGAAACATTTAACCTGTCAACCAAACATGGAAACTAATCAAGGACAGAGCCAACCTAGAATTAAGGAGAAATTTCCTGACAATTAGAACAATTAATATGTGGCACAACTGGCCTCCAGATGTTGTGAATGCTCCAACACTGGAAGTTTTTAAGAAGAGATTAGATCACCATTTGTCTGAAGTGGTGTAGGGCTTCCTGTCTAAGCAGGGGGTTAGACTAGAAGACCTCCGACATCCCTTTCAACTCTGTTATTCTGTTATTGTATCTCCTTCCCCCAACCTGCCCCTAGAAACACTCAGCGCCATAAAATATCTAATCTTGATCTTTCCAAATCTGGGGAAGGGCAGATAGGAGCAAGAGAAGAGAAAGAGGAAAGAAATAAACTTCCAACTTTTTGTGTGCAGTAGAATTCTAAAATAATAATAATTAGAACTTCAAGCTTTTATCTTACATCTCTAAATATTTCAAATAATTTCTGTAACGACCTCTATTTCCAGTGTCAATGAAAAGTTCAGTCTTCCTGTTTTTTTAAAAGAAATCCAAACTGTACCATTCCATTGGAAAATTATCATTTTGTATAATGTTATTATAGCTTAGGGTTGTTGGTTTTTTTCCTTCCTGGACCATCACTTGTGACTTGTGCCATTCCTTCTTTTTGCAGATTGAGATGGGACTTGTATATGACTCTCCAGGTATGTCCTCCATTCTTACCTTATGGCATGTGGGATGGGGGATGTGAGGTTTTTCTTGTCACATGACACCTATTTGTAGTCTTCTCCAGCTGGGGTTTCCAAACATGGC